ATAGGATCATACACCCACGAGCAGCCTAAGTTTCACAATTTTGAACATGGGATGCCTTTTGATGATAAGGAAACAGAACAAAACAAGAAGACAAACAAAATAAGCATGCAGCAAAATAGAACTACCAATTGCAATATATGTATATGTCCTTTCTGTTCACCAACCTAATCTAATATAGAGAAAAGCATAAGTTAAGTCAAATTTGAAGTTATTTTCCTGAAAAGCAAAAAACCAATGAAAGAACAAAAAAAGTACATTGACCCAGAAAGGAAGAAAAAGAAACTCTCTTTGATGGGGACATGGTGACATATAACAAAACCATACCCATGCTAGGGCAAAAAGATCATATCTATAATTGAAATTACTTCATAATAAAATAGAAATTTACCTGTGGAGATGCACCAAAAGGAATATGCTGTCCACCGACAGTGAAATGCAATTTCATCTCCAAGCTTAAGACATGAAATGAAATTACATAAGATAAAGGTATAACTCCAGAGTCCTAACCTTCCAGGTAAAATGGGATGATACTGAGATGATTCAGATCTCCAGTCCCCTCTATGCATTCATAATGCATATTAGTTATGAATGAACATCAAAAGGTAGTCATTGACTACATTAAGATGGTTAGAGAATGATCGCGTAATTAAAATGTCTAAACTAAGCAAATGAAAAGGTCAAACCTTAACATGCACTTCTTCCATGTATAGGCTACCAGGAGGCAGTGGAGGAGCAGATGCCTTATCCATTGAGGCTCCAACACCAACCTTTTTGTCAGTGGAACTATCATAAATAGAGACGCGGCATGTAACAGGTGTAGTGCCATCTGGAAACTCTAATGGTAATGCCGCTTTTAAGTTGAGAGGCAAAGAACAAATTAGCTCGGTAGAAGTTCAAAAGTGGGTGATACAAGTAATAAATGTCAAAAATAACGATACCTTCTCCATCGTGACAACAATCTGTATATTGGCTAGGAATGGGAAAAGCAAAGGACAAACCCTGCAATGTTCAAATATGAAACAAATTCAAAAACTGACCACCAAAAATAGTAAAAACGAAAAAGTGGTGAGTAATTATGCATCAGGTGTACATACTGGATAGAATAAAGTATAAACACCCCTATCTCTGTCGTTGATCCCTGGAAAAGTTGGCCCAAAAAGTGCATATACTGCCACAAAAGTAGCTGGAGTGGATGGTCCTCTAAAAATAGAAACAGTGTCAGTGCAAACTATTAAAAAAAACAGCCTGAAAACAATGAAGATCAGGGCTCAACCCACCCAATAAGTGATGTAGCATAACGCATTTGAAGCCGCTTGACATCAAAAACTTCAATAAGGCGTAACCTCTAATGCAGAATTCGAAGTTAGAAAAAACAAAGCATATTAACAGCAGGCATGGACATTAGGTCATACATACACAATAAAGACTAATTGCTGCAATCATAAAACAGAGAGGATGAACCACTCAAACTTACAGTTTCATGCACCGGGAGAAACTAAATATTGAAACTTCTTAAACAGTGAAATCCGAAATAAAGAAAAGCAATAGATTAAACATGTAGAAGAAAATAAAATACCTGAGACCACGGATCAAAACGAAGATGAAAACCATGATCCGGAAAGCTAATAACTATGTCGAGTTTAAGAGGCTCCTGTTCAGTACATTAACAAACCTTGTCAACCAAAAAAAAAAAAAGATTCACGTTGAATGCTAAACCTGACACCACAAATTTCCCATTACAAGCAAGTATCGTCCATGATTTATCAGAGACAATCTTAAGGAAAGAACTATGTCATGTAGTTAAGACTTCATCCAAAAACTTTTCAGCAACAGCGAAAGGCATCAAATGGGATATGACCAAAATACCTCGTCAAAATATTTGACATGAACAACATCGTAGATGTTCGGCTGCTGCTCTATCTGAGCAAATGCTTCGCATATTGGCATTCCTGAGACAACATTAAAGATCATCATCGCTACGGATGAAACCCTAGCGAAAGACTAGCAAGCTCATACTGACACAATTAACCACTGAAAATGACCAAAGCGAAACACAAATTCAATGACCTTTTCCAGCATAGCTACAACAATCAGTCCAAAGGACCATCAACCAAACACCATAAAATTATTCCATCTCTTGCGTCGCTAACACGCTTCAATTCGTCTAACAACCAAAAAGGTAATATAACCCGAAAATTCCCAAACCAATCGAAATGAATAACCGAACAATTCAATCCATATAACCAATCGGTTTTTAATTCAACAAAAATCTCTTTCCGGAACTAATCAGCAAAATACTTGATGAATCGCATACCGAGAGAGAAAGGTCCTATGCCGAGACCGGGCCGGAGATCGAGAATGATGGCACCCATGGCTGTACCTTCACAACGTCGTCTAGGCCTCTGCAACATTCTTCCCTTGTCTTCTACTGAGGTATCGAGAGTTTATTGGGAAAATTCTCCGTTACTTTCGCGCGATGAACTCACAGGTGTTGAAAGCTTAATACTGAACGGCACTATTCGTGAATCATGGATCGTAGAATTAGGGTCGGATACACTTTGCCCAATCCCACGTCTGCGTCAACTGTTAGCCTCTGGCTTTTGTGGGCCC